GCAATCCATCTACGTCCTGAGGACCTCGCTGCCACCGTCCAAGCGTGCTTGGCCCCGGCAGATGAACCTCAGGATTAAAGGGTGGGCTCAGTTCTGCGCACACTGTGTCTCACCTAAAAAATCCAATGCGCAGGCTGGAAGGTGGAAAGACCTTCCCCGGTTCTTCGTTCGCGAAGAGACTGGCCATTACATTATTCCTTCAGGAAATCTTATTAGGAAAAATAAAATCAATCAATTTTTTCTTACTTACTATTTTCAAGTTTTTTTAAAATCTTCTTCAATCTCTTTCTTCTTTTCATTAACTTTTCTTTGTGCTTATGCTTGTCTTTTAGTTAGAAATTCAAACTTGGGCTCATGAGTAGTTTTCCAGAGTCCTGATGTTTTCTTCTGGTGAATCTATTTCTAAAGTGATCCATCTAAAGGGAACTGGGGGCAAAGATTTGTTTGTTTTCAAATGAGTTTCCTGATTTGAGAAATCTGGGAAGAAATAAAGAGGTTTAAATCGTCCAAACTGACCTATTTCAGCACTTCTGAAAACTTTTTTTTTTCCACATTTCAGTTCAGAAAAATGTTTTATTTAAAAATATTAATGAAATTTGTAGCACAGTGTTAGAAAATTGAAGTGTTCCAACCAGAAAAGAACTACTTGGGGAATTCCTGAATGAATACACATTGATTGCTGTAATTAATAATAATAAAAATAAGTATGAGTTCAAGTTCTGTGCAAACACTCAAGAGTTAAGACAACTGTCCTGGGATAGGGACAAAACTACTGAATTAATTCCTGGTTTAAGTGCACATTGAATCTCTCCTGATCCTTTTTATGAGTTTTATAGAATCATAGAATGGTTTGGGTTTGAAGGGGCCTTAAATCTCATCTTGTTCCAACCCCCTGCCACGGGCAGAGACACCTTCCACTATCCCAGGTTGCTCCAAGCTCCGTCCAACCTGGCCTTGAGCACTTGCAGGGACGGGGCAGCCACTGCTTCTCTGGACAAGTTTTTACAATAGTTTAAATAAATCTTTTCCTTTTCTAGTCTTTACCACAGCCCATCCTTTATGAACACATTGTGGCAAAAGCATATTCCTTAGAAGAGTTGCAAGTTTTGCCATTAACAACACCTGTGTCAATGTACATTCCTGAATTCCCTTTAATAATTAATTCCTTTTATTCCTTTTCCTTTAATCACTGCAATTTGTTGACTGTTTTCCAGCATCAGTGTTTCAGGATGTGGTTACATGAGGACAGGAAGGAACTTCTGTTTGCTTA